TGGTTCCCAATCATGTCATGTAGGGAGTGGAGCCCTGCCATGCCTAGACTCTACCTGCTGTCATGTAGGGGTAGGCAATCAAGCTAAACATGGGTCAACAGTGTGATGCTGTAGCTAAAAAGGACAATGTAATTCTAACCTGCATCAACAGAAATGTAGTGTCTAGATCAGGGGTAGGCAACCTTTCCCCTTTAAGGGCCGAGGGACTTCAGCTCCCAGAAGCCTCAGCCATGTTGGCCAATAGTCCCATCTTGGCCAATAGTTCCTGGGATTCTGGGAGCTGAAGTCCCTCGGCCCTTAAAGGGGAAAGGTTGCCTACCCCTGGTCTAGATCAAGAGAAGTAATAGTACCACTCTATTCTGGTTTGGTCAGATCTCACCTGGAATACTGTGTCCAGGTTTCTGGGTACCACTTTTCAAGAAGGATGTGGATAACCCGGAGCATGTCCAGAGGAGGGCGACCAAAATGGTGAAAGGTGTGGAAACCATACTCTATGAGGGCTTAGGGAACTGAGTATGTTTAGCCTGGAGAAAAGAAAATTAAGGTGTGACATGACAGCCATGTTTAAATAATTTGTGAGGATGTAGCAAGCTTATTTTCTGCTGCTCCAGAAACTAGGACACAGAGCAATGGATTCAAGCTACAGGAAAAAAGATTCCACCTCAACATTAGGAAGAAATTCCTGACAGTAAGAGCTGTTCAACAGTGGAACACACTCCCTCAGAGTTTGGTGGAGTCTCCTTCTTTGGAGGTCTTTAAACAGAGGCTGGATGGCCATCTGTCAGGGGTACTTTGATTGTGTATTCCTGCATGGAAGAGGGGTTGGACTGGATGGCCCTTGGGGTCTTTTCCAACTCTATAATTGTATTTGTGTGTTTATGCCTTCAAGTCACCTGTTGACTTATGGCAACCTCATGAATTTCATAGGGTTTTCTTAGGGTATTCAAGGAATACGCAAAGGTGATTTTGTCAGTTCCTTTCTCTGAAATAGAACATTCAGCAGATAATATCGTTGGTGGTCTCCCATCTAAGTACTAGCCAGGATTGACTCTGCTTAGTTTCCAAGATCAGACAGGATCTGGTGCCTTTAGGGTAATTAGGTCTTAGCTTCTATATGCATTACTTAATATTAAAACTAGGGAATTCTTTTACTATTTATCATTCACATGTGTATCTTGTTCTTCCACAGAACTCAGAACATATACTGGGATTTTTAAATTTTATCTTCACAATAACAGATGGCAATAACAGAAGGCTGGATGATTCCTGCATGGCAGGGGTTGGACTAGATGAGCCTTGTGGTCTCTTTAAATAATGATGCTATGATTTTCTGTCCTCCAGATGTTTTGACCTATCAAGCCTGCATCCTCTGTTGAGATTACACTAGCTTGGAGGTACTTGGTTGTTTACCCCTGAATCAGCAGAAAGCACGCTGATTTTCCTGAGACTCTGAGGAATGACTCCCAGTAGAGCAAGCGAGACTGAGCTGGATTGACAAAGAATCTGACCCAGAGCTTAGAAAATTTACACACACACAGATAGACAGACAGACACACATTTATATATATAACTACTCTTCAGTTGCTGTTAGTTCCAAGGTAAATCCTTGCTGTTAGTCATTATTTGAAGAGACATGCACCAACAGAATTATTTTTTAAGATAGTTTTCAATTGAAAAACACTTTAGTTAAAAAAAATCCACCCAAATGAATCCACACACAAAATGTAATGTTTTACAAGTATGAATAAAACTACTTGTTGCACTAAAAAGGTTATTTTTCAAGACATTGCATTATTCTCCAATAAAAAAACAACAACACATATGTATGCCCTTGCAACCCCTAATAGTAAAGCTATAGGTAACTTTATTAATTTTCATGTGTTATTTCAAATCCTTGATCTGATGTGGAATAAGGCAGCTCAGTATTTTCCAACAGGTATAAGACATATTGCCTCCCAACATGGAGATGAAGACCTGCTAGATTACAGATAGTCTTTCTGTTCAAAAGATCTGAACTCTTAGGTGGGCTGGAACCCTACTCCCAGCATCAGAACTGGTATGCATACAACTTAATTGGTGGTATCCATACAACTCCTAAGAAATCAATTTCCATTTTTCATGTCCTCTTGCTGGGAGGTATCCACACTGCACAGTGATTGGAGTTTGATCCCACTTTAAATGACATGGCACCAAATGATAGAATCTTGGGATTTTGAATTTTGTGAGGTATTCAGAATTCTCTTTGCTAGAGAGCTCTAGTGTTATAGTTCATGTAAGCAGATTAGAGCAGAGAGTTCCTAGTACCTCCCCAAGCTACTGCTCCAAGCATTACATAGGATGGAGCTATGACAGTCAAAGATATCTCAAACTATAATTGTCTGCAGCTGGTGGTACATGTAGCATCAGTGAGATGAGTCTAGGTAGGAGACAGTGTTTATTTATTTATTTACAATAGTTACTATGAAATTGCTCTTCTACAGTCTCCATGTCCTCCAGTAGCTGTAATGTGCCCTCTTTCTCCTACTGACCTATCCTGCCACTGATCATCCATCTGTAACCTTTTGGGATACTGATAATAATATTGGATACTTGGTGTTTCTCTTCATCCCCTGCCACCCATCTTCACTCATCCTACCAGGAATTATGCAGTTGTGCATCTATCTCTCCCCTATTCTGTTATATGCAGCAAGAGAATGCCTGTAAATGTATAAAATTTCATTCCCAGAAGTGCCCTTTCTAATTACGGTGGAAGTCATGTCCTTGACATTAAGATATACAAAGGCTGTTTTAAGGCTCAGAGGTACATACAATGAGCTGGCCTAAATCTGGTTGTTAGTCCTGACTAGCGCAGACCAATTCAAATAGTGGGCTTTACCTATAAGTTGAGAACCATTGAACAATTGATTGAATAAGTCAACTCTAGTTGGAAGAGCCAGTGTGGTGTAGTGGTTTGAGCATTGGACTACAACTCTGGGGACCAGGGTTCGATTTCCCGCTTGTCCATGGAAACCCTCTGGTTGACCTTGGTTGTTTGTAGATATTGTCTATATGTAGTTCAGTTCCACATGGTGTGGTGGTTTGTGCATTGGACTACAACTCTGGAGACCAGGGTTTGAATCCCAGCTCAGCAATGGAAGCCCACTGAGTAACCATGGGCAAGGCACACTCCCTCAGCCTCATAGGATGGCCATGACAAACCCTCTCTGAAGAAACTTGCCAAGAAAACCCCATGATAGGTTCTCCTTAGGGTCGCCATAAGTCAGAAATGACTTGAAGGCACACAACAGCAACAGCAGTTCAGTTTCAAGAATATATATTATCATATGTGTGATCTAAAATTATATTTCATTTTTTAAAATTAGTATTATCTCTCAGCCCCAGAAAACCCAGTGATAGGTTCACTTTAGAGTGGCCCTAAGTTGGAAATTACTTGAAGGCACACAACACAAGTGTAGTTGGCACTAAACAGTAGGATGCCAGCT